TTCCCCAAAGATCAAGAAACAGGCTCCCTTTCACTAAGGGAGGAAGGATAATTAAATGTCCCTTCATCTAAGCCATAGCCAGTTGTAACTGGCACTCTCTTGTAATTCTACTCCCTTCCACACCAAAATGGGCTGTTCAGGTCAGCTCACAATGCCTGCAGCTGCAAGAGATGTTTAAGGGCAGCTGGAAACCTGGAAGGGAAGTAATTATCCCCTGGCAGGTGAGCAGAAAAGTGATGGCTCTGGCATGGGGCAGGACCAGGTGGGGGACATGACAAGACAGTGGCAGCTGTCACAAGATGGAGGGAAGAGCAGATAGTAGGAATGAGATGGGTTAGGGAAGGCATAGTTGAAGGGCAGAGCTGCCCCTACTCTTGGAACCCAATTGTAATCCTTGCTTGAGATTTCTTAGGGCACGGAATATGGGAATCTTGTGCCACCCTCTTACTAGTAAACATTAGCATAGTTGGGAATGGAGATTAGTTGACAGCTCCCAGTTGACTAATTAAGACTCTCAAAACTACTGGGCTGCTTTGTTCTCACCCATGTGCCTCTTGAACAAAGGGACATTCAACCAGACCCTTGATCAGTCTGGTTCACGGCATACTCTTGTGAAACAATATACCATCTCCTTATATCAAAGACCCAAGGACTACTATGCATACTTGTCTTTCCAGTTTCCATCCAGAACATACCTGAAGCCTTGTTAGAGCTAAGCCCTATGAAACATCCATACATCTGTTCAGACTCAGGTGACAAGGATGCACAACGAAGGGACTTAAATTAGGCATTTCTCAAACAGCAATACTTAGCCAGCAAAACAGCGGCAACAGGGCAAAACTGATAAAGACGGACCCTACCCAGAAGAAAAATAAGGGACTATTAGCCTATAAGCGTAAAAGCTTTTTCAAGTCAAGCTCAACTCCCAGTAACTTCATGCACAATCTGGGCAGTTTTTATATATGTCCATGTAGGTTTGTTTATAATTCCCAAATCAAAACACTCAAATACATAGTCAATAATCTACAGGTGATGCCTTGGACAGTAATCTTTAACTTGTTTAGAGCCGGCCGGCAGACTTAAGAACTGCCACACTACAGCGGTATTTCTCAATTTTTGGCAACTTAAAGAAGTATGGATTTCAGCTCCTAGTATTCCCAACCAGTATGTTGGTTGAGGAATTCTGAGAATTGAAGTCCACACATCTTCAAATGGGCAAGGTTAAGTAACATTTTGTCAGAATATTCATGAACTGGCAGAGACATGGTAACAAGGTCAGCCAATGTATAGACATGGCAAATGGGTCAGCCAATGAGAACTATATGGTGACTGAGAGCACCGCCCCCTAGAGTCGGGAGCAACTAGCACATATGTACAAGGGGAAACTTTACCTTAATACTACCATACATTTACTTTTAAAGGAAACCAATAAAAATAAATCTATTTTACCAGATAATGTATACTCATCCATTTTGTGATAATGAAAAAAATTAGCTCCAAGTCATTCAAATTCATACTATTTTAATTTCACAAGCTTTATAAGTATCTACTATAGTTCTTCAACAAATTTACATAATCAGATATAGTTTGATAAACTTAATTTGTGCTACATCTTAATAATAGTTTCTTTTCTATGTTTAAGCACAATATATTTTGTGTATTGTGAAGATTTGAATTTACATGCAGAATAGATGTCTAGTTTGGACCACATCAGCTTCTCTTATTTTCAGATATTGTTTCATTCCATCAATAGTACACATTTTACTGAATTTAAACAGGAAAAATTATCAAAACATATAACTTTCAAATGAAGAGTATCAGCTGAGAAGAGGGTCTTGATAAAGAAATAACCTTTCCATGTCAACGAAATTTTTGTTTAAATAATGTCTCACCAAATATGCTCTGTATATAATGCTTCTGCTTAAAAACAAAGTACATTTACTTTTTATTAGCATGCACATTTTTACAAAAATACAACTGCCTGATTTTGGGTTTTTTTTAAACAAGCCACATCTAAAACAACAGAATAGAATAGAACAGAATTCTTTATTGGCCAAGTGTGATTGGACACAAGGAATTTGTCCTTGGTGCATATGCTCCCAGTGTGCATAAAGAAAAATAAAATAGAATACATTCATTGAGAATCATAAGATACAACACTTAGTGATAGTCACAGGTTACTAATAAGCAATCAAATTACACTAGGAAACAAATAAAACAATTTACATTTTAAAGATAAAAGCAACATGATTATAGTCGTAAATGGAAAGAGGTACTAGGAAAGAAGAGAAGAATAATAGTAATAAAGTCTTAGTAGATAATTTNCAGCTGGGTGACTTTGGGCCAATCACCAGGAGATGGTGAGTTCTAGTCCTGCTTTAGCCATGAAAGCCATCTGGGTGACTTTGGGCCAATCACCAGGCGACGGTGAGTTCTAGTCCTGCCTTAGGCATGAAAGCCATCTGGGTGACTTTGGGCCAATCGCCAGGAGACGGTGAGTTCTAGTCCTGCCTTCGCCATGAAAGCCAACCGGATGCCTTTGGGCTAGTCCCTCTCTCAGTGCAAACCTCATCATAGACTTGTTGTGGGGAAAACAGGGAGAGGAAGGAATACAGGGGGTCCTTGAGTTATGAACGTCATGGACTTGCCCATTCCATTTGTAACCCGAGGATTCGTGGGAGTGAATCTCATATGTTAAGCATGATCACTCCCTCCTTTCGCACACGGATTCCGTAATCGAATTCGCCAGTGGTTAAACGCTTGGGGTATCTCAGGGTGGGGAAGGCCATGTGGGGGCCTAGTGATGGAAGAGGCCCCCTGGTCATTTCATTTCAAAATTACAATGGCACTGAAAAAAGTGACTTATGACCATTTTTCACACTTACGACTTTTGTAGGACCTTTGCGATCAAAATTCAGGCTCTTGGAAACTGCTTCATATTTATGACGGTCACAGCATCCTGGGATCACGTGATTCCCCTTTTGCGACCTTCTGACAAGCCAAGTTGACATGGGAGGCAGCTTCACTTAACAACCATGTTCCTAATTTATTGACTGCGGCAGATTCACTTAACAACTGGGCCATTGTCACTAAACAAATGTCTCACTTAACCACAGGAATTTCGGGCTCCCTTGAGGTCGTATGTTCAAGGACTACCTGTAGAAATGACCATGACTCAATCATTCCTTTTTCAAAAAAGTTTTTATTTTATTTTAATACAAATATATCATCTTTTGTTAAACAGTGTGTCATCTGGGTACAAATTTTTTTTGCAATAACAATTAAATTTACAGTCATATTCATTATTTTATCTATTCTTAAGTTCATACTAATACATAACATACTATTATAACAATCCCCTTCCTTACTTATTTGCCTTTGTTAATACAATTTCTCTATTTCACTCCTCTGCTTTCATTTCTAATTTTCATATTTATTCTCTAACCATTGATAAAATAACTCCCATATACTATAATAGTCAGATTCTTCCTGTTTTTTAATTGGAAGTGTTAATCTATTGATCTCTGCACATTCTGGTATTTTCTTAATCATGTTCTCATCCGTAGGGATCTCTTCACTTTCCCAGTTTTGTGCAACTACAATTCTAGCTGCAGTTATTACGTGAACAAACCAATATATCTTTTCTTTAAATTTCTGGTAAGATCCCCAACAAGAATAATTCTGGTTTGAAGTCAATATGTTGTTGCACCATCTTCTCCAACCACATATGAATTTTTGTCCAATATTTTTTAGCTTCTATACATGTTCACCACATATGATAGTACGATCCCGGTATCTGGTGACATTTCCAACATTTGGCTGATATATCTTTAAGCATCTTCGCTAATATTTCCAGGGGGTGGGGAGGAGAGAGAGAGAGAGAGAGAGAGAGAGAGAGAGAGAGAGAGAGAGAGAAAGAG